CTCACAAATTCAAAATCCGCATTCAGTAAATTCGAACTGCATTTATTATTTTATTCTGCATTTAATGGTTTCATTTTTACGCCTAATGTTTTTTTTTTTAATTTTTTTTCTTCTCTTTCTTCATTTTAGCATTTATACAAAATTATAAAAATAAAATTATTTTTTTCCTTTTTTTTCTACATAATATTATTACAAAAACAAAAGCATGCATGCTATTTTTTTGTTCATTTTTTTAATCCAGTATACATATTTTTCTGTAGTAGACTATAGTATACTACGATATACGTACTATAGTATAGTACTATTGTATACTACGGTATACTATGATGTACTATCAAACCCTAGCCGCCAACAACTCCCAGCCGTCGCCAACCCTAGCAGCCAAACGCAGCTGCTGCCAAACTCTAGCAGTCATACCAAGCAAAATCTCTTAAAAGATAATCAGATGCAATTAGTCAAAAAATGCTTTCAATAACAGTTGATTCTTCGATTCACAGCGCCGTCAGACACTCGTAGTCTCGTATACAACTAGAGTCATTTTCAAAACCCTACTTTTGCCATTTTTGGAACCCTAGCACTTCTAGCAAACATAAACCAGCCACCGTCCGCGCAGTATATGCAATTCAACGCACACATACATGAATTCATCATAACCGGCCGTAGCCACCGCTCAAAAAGCAACGAAAAAATCTACGCAGACACACATCTCTCCAACCCTTCCGTGATGCAATCGCCACTTCCCCGACCAAGGCGAGTCAAGGACATCCGCACCGCCACACAAGCGCATCTAAATTGGCCACCACCGTTCGTTACAAATCTATTGTCCCCCCGCCAATTTTTAAAACTCATATCTAGTAATTAAAAGGAAAGAAAAGAAATCAAAAGAATGAAAAAGAGTGATAGAGAGATTGGGGCGGGTAGATAGAGAAAGTGAGAGAAGATGAGGGGTTGAACGGCGGAAGAATAGAGAGAGAGGGGGAGAAAGAGAGAAATAATATAATGAGATTATACTGTAGTTTTCTATTAATTATATGAAGGGAAGTTTTGGGTTTTAAATAATTAAAAGCATGTGTATCAATTTTTGTTTAGAATTAAGAATTTAACAAAAAAATTCTAATTGAGTTTGTCCCCTACATCTAATTAAGTTTGGCTTGAGGGGTGTTGTGCATATTATTTGTTTTTTTCATATTTTCAACAAACACTTTAAATAAGCTCTTATGCTGCACAATAATCCACAAATTTTCAAACACCTGCAACTTTTAGAAATAAGCATTTAATTCCAACTTAACTCGCAATTATGGGTGAAAGTCGGATGGATCGGATCGGATCGGAGTTAGGCTTTTCGAAGAATTTCCAAAAAAATTCGGAAGTACAAAATCGTTCCAATTCCGATTCCAAAATTTATGGAATCTAAAAATCCATTCGAATTCCAAAAAAGACGGAAATTTCAGAATTTCGGGAAAGTTTCGGAAATCACATAAGTTTTAAAATTTCAAAACTTAGCGGAAATTTTCTGAAAATTTCATGATTTTGAAAAAATAAGAGCATCCACGTCGATAAAAGTAAAACTAATAACTACTAAATTTCAGCTCAAAAAAATAAATAAATAATACCACATCTTATAATCCGTTAAAACTTCTATTAACAATTCAATATGTCAAAATCCTTAAACAAAATTTAAATCAAATGACTATTTCAAAAAAACACAAAAAACTTAAAATAAGTATTATATAATATATATTATTTATAGGTGTATTTTTCGAGAAAACATCGGAATTTTTCAGAATTAATTTTGGAAATTATATTGGATTGGAAATCGAAATTTCTAAACTTCTTTATATAATTCCAATTCAAATCCAAAAAAATCGGAAATTGAAATTTCGGAAGTCGGAGTAAAAAAAGTTGTTCCGAAACCGGAACTTTTCGGATCGGAATCAGCAGAAATTGGAATTTCCGTTCCAACCATCCCTACTCATAATAATCCACACTTTTTCAAACACCTCGAACTTTTAGAAATAAACACTTAATTTCAGCTTGACTCATAATTACTTAACTTCTATATTCAAATAAGTTTTTGCAAAGACAACCTTAACAACCTATTACATATCAATTCATTGAAAGAGCTATATAAAAGACGAATAGGATTCCAATATGTTTTATTTTCCATTTCCAATTAAACAGGTGAAATGCAACCACTTCCCAAATCATATATCCATCACTTATTTTCTGAACCTTGTGTGAAATAAATACAATTTCCTCTGTAACCAGTTTCTATCGAACTCACCCGATTACGACACTGATCCACGAACAATGTCTTGCCTTGAATCTTTTCAACCTTAATCAACTTAAGATCGGGAAAATGAAGACGAAAAACCTCGACTTTGTCCACCACACTAGTTGTTTTTTGATTTGTTAAGAAAACCAACAATATCTCTCCATTCAATTGAACAAAGTACTCCTTGAAAAACCTCGAACTTATAGACGGAACAGCCCTGCTCGAGCTTATCGCCTTAATTTTAAGACACGAGTCGGTTTCTTGGATAACTGCAAGAGCCCCGTGCAAACTCAATGCAACGACTACACCTTGAAGTTTTGCGATACTGGTGAATTGCATGCATTTATTCTAAGCATCGAACGGGTCGATTGTGTTGCACTCGTATTTGATCAAAGTGAATGTGTATTGGGTACACGGAACGTGATTATTTTGCGGATTCAATCGGTAGGTGAAGAGGGCAGGGCTAGAGACGCTACTCATACGCATACGAGTAACACAAGGAGTATTAATAGCTTCATGTGAAGATATTTTCGAAGCAAATTTCGATGGAATTTTCGCATTCACACACGGTAGAATTCGACTAGTGGAAACATCAACAACCGAAGAGCCGAAGTAGTAAGTAGAATCCAACGGGTTGTAGGTTGCGTCGACATCTACTTGGTAAATTTGAGGGCATAACCGGAATTGATCTTCACTCGCTTTGCACCGGCGTACCCATGACTTGGTCAACCCTAGATTGATCATATTAGGGTTGACTTTCCAGTTCCATGGTTGGATTAGTTGTTGTGGCCTAGTGGACAATTTTGTTGCCTTGTTTTTCTTTGCCCTCATTTTATTTAATTACTAATTAAAGGCAGAAATGAAGGTATTATATATAAGGTCAAACTCAAAGCCTTGGTATCCAAGTTTTAGTTGTTATAAAATATTGTAAGTTCAGGTCAAATTGTATTGTGTACATTCCTGTTTTTTTGACTATGTGTAGCATAGAAATAACCGTCTTGATCTCCCAAGAAGGAAAGTCCAATGGTATGCTACATATAGATTATTTGGGCGATTTGCTAAACATTCTTTGATTATAATTTTCTTTCATATCAAGACGACAAGACACTCATATTTTTTCATTTTGCTAATAATCTTTCGGACAACTTAGTTAGAGTGTTGGAAATGAATAAGATAGATTCATTAATCAAGTTCAAAGTATTGAAGGTTCTAGAATTCATGAATGTGGAAGAATACATGAATGTGTCTTTTGGAGAGATTCATGTATAATGCTATGGAGGAAGAATATTATTAATTATGTGTTCATGTATTTGTTTAGATACATGCTAGGAAAATCCTATAAATAGTCTATGTAGTTTTTCATTTGGAGTATGTCAAAAACAAGAAGAAGTATTCTAGAGAGAAAGAAAAGAGTTCTTGAGTGAGTTTATATATTTTGTGTTGATTGAGTGAGTAATATAATTTTATCTCCTCTCCACTACTCCTCCTCTCTATTTTAAGTTATTTCCCTGCGTGTTTTCGATCTATATTATTAAATCGATCCAACAAAGTGGTATCAGAGCCACGTCTGAATAGAAAAGATCGATGGCAACCACAAATGGAGCTTTCCCATTTCAAAAGCTTGCAAAGGAGAACTATGATCGATGGAGCATACAAATGAAAACTTTCCTTGGTGGACAAGACGTTTGGGAAACCGTTGAAGAAGAGTATGTTGAACCGGAGAATTTGGTTTCGTTAAGCCAAGCCCAAAGGAAGACATCCAAAGAAGCCAAGGTGAAAGATCAAAGAGCGCTATCAATTATCCAACTCGGTGTAGATTATAGTAACTTTGAGAAAATTTCTCAAAAGCTACTACGGCGAAGCAAGCATGGGATATTCTTAGCGATGCTTTCAAAGGCATTGATAAGGTGAAGAAGGTACGACTCCAATCACTTCGTGGAGAGTTCGAGTCTTTGAAGATGAAAGACTCCGAAGATGTTTCCGACTACGTCTCAAGGGTGGTTTCGGTCGTCAACCAACTTGAAAGAAATGGTGTAACAATGGAAGAGAGAAGAGTGGTCGAAAAAATACTTTGATCCATTGATCCTAAGTTCGACTACATTGTCGTGGCAATTGAAGAGTCAAACGACGTTGAGACTCTTAAAGTGAACGAGGTATTGGGCAAGTTAAAAGTCCATGAGGAAAAGATCAAGAGGCGAAACAAAGGGCCCGAAGTAGAACAAGCCCTTCAAGCAAAGACGAACCTTGCCGACCAACCGAAATATGATGGTGCTCGATTTCGAGGTAGAGGTAGAGGCCGTGGTCGTGGACGCGGTCGTGGTCGTGGCATAGGTCGTGAAGGAAAATCCTCGTACGACAATGATGATACGAAGCAAGAGAATCGACCAACAAGAGGTCGTGGAAGATGTGGATTCAATCGGCGTCAAGACAAGAACGATGCCGAATGTTACAAATGTCACAAATACGGACAATATGCTTGGGAGTGTCAAAATGAGTCAAGTGATGAAAAGACTCATTATGTTGAAACAACGGAAAAATAAGTTGCCGGGATATCACTCTTGGCGTATGAGGTATCGACAGACGCAAAAGATAACTTGTGTTATCTTGATTCGAGTACAAGCAACCACATTTACGAAAGTAACAAAGTTGAGGACTCACTAGTTGCTGAATTAATGGAGCAGTAAAAATAGAAGTCCCTTGAACTTGAGGCCAAAGATGCAAATAATCGGAAGATTAAGGAGAAACTCAAGCGAAAGACCTTAGAATGTGCGGAGTTGCAAGAAACCAATGTCAAATTGCAACAAGTGATCTCTCATATTGTCGAACAGAGAGCCTTCATTCCACCAAATAGGAATGTGAATGATTCAAATGATATGTTGCTTCTACAAGCTCGAGCAAGAGAGGTTGAAGAACTAAGAAAACGATTAGTTGAAGCAACCGAGTCAAAGAAAGAGCTTGTGCTACGCAATAAGAAACTTGAAATCGAAAGTTCGTATGCTAATAAATTAGCATCAACTGCAGTAGTTGAATTCAATATTTTGTCTGAACAAGTTGAGAAGCTGGTGGATCACAACGAGAAGTTAATGAAGCACAATGAAAAGCTAATGAATCACAATGAGATATTAGCTATCGAGATGCAAGTTGCTTTGGTAGAAAAAGATCAAGTAGAAGCTGAATATGTGGCGGCGACATCGAGTGTATGTCCTGCAATATGGCTAAGGAACTTACTAAAGGAGCTAAATTTGGCTCAAGAAGGTTCGACACAAGTTTTTGTCGATAACAAATCAGCGATTGCACTAGTGAAAAATTCAGATTTTCATGATCGAAGCAAACACATTGATACTCGATATCATTTCATCCGAGAGTGCATTGCAAAGAAGGAAGTTCAAGTGAAGTACGTGAAGTCCGAAGATCAAATTGCCGATATCTTCACGAAACCCCTCAAGAGAGAATTGTTCGAGAAGTTGAGGAGTCAACTTGGAATGCGTGAATCAAGCTTAGGGGGGCGTGTTGCAAATGAATAAGCTAGATTCATTAATCAAGTTCAAAGTATTGAAGGTTCTAGAATTCATGAATGTGGAAGAATACGTGAATGTGTCTTTTGGAGAGATTCATGTATAATGCTATGGAGGAAGAATATTATTAATTATGTGTTCATGTATTGGTTTAGATACATGCTAGGAAAATCATATAAATAGTCTATGTAGTTTTTCATTTGGAGTATGTCAAAAACAAGAAGATTTCTAAAGAGAAAGAAGAGAGTTCTTGAGTGAGTTTATATATTTTGTGTTGATTGAGTGAGTAATATAATTTTATCTCCTCTCCACTATTTTAAGTTATTCCGCTGCGTGTTTTCGATCTATATTATTAAATCGATCCAACATAGGGAGCTTAGAACGAAAATACATATCTTTAAATGAAATTATCTTATTCTCATCCACATCATCTATTCGCAAAACCACCTCCGATCCAAAAACATAGCATTTATTTTACTCCCATGCCTCTAAATACCAGTTACCTGCCATTGATCGCCTAATTTTTGTTCAGTTCTTGTTGCTTCAGGCGAATTAACTTTATTTTTTTTTTTCAATTTTTGGCTTTATATTTTTTTCACTTTTTATTCCCGAACTCTTTTTTATTCGTAGAGAATCAAAAATTCAAATTATTATTTTTCTTCATTTTAGGAATAATTAAAACATCAAAAAGAAAAAAGAAAAAAAAATCATTTTAATTCGCCTACAATCGGGCGAACGCGATTGAACTTATTTAGCCCAGTTCTAAGCGAATTAAGATAATTTTAATAGATGCACAATTTAAGAAATCAACTTAATTCGCCTAGGTGAATTCCCTTCCCTTAACTTGCCTAGTTCCAGGCGAACTAAGCTGATTTTCGTTATATTCTTTTAGAACTTGAACATTTGAAGTTTTTGGGATATGAATTTGAAGTTTTTTTAAATTTGAAGCATAAAAAAGGGCAAATATATGGGGTGTGTCGGAAACACACCACTCAATTACGAAACGTACCAAATATAGTTAGGTGTCCGCCAGGTGTTTTTGCGTGCCGAACATGAAACGTATTTGAAACACGCATACGTTAGGAAGTTGAAGAATAAATGTTACATAGTTTTAATCTTAAATGAAACACAATGTAGGTGATGAAAATACTACAAGTATGACCACTATCTTTCAAATGTAATTATAATTCAAGTACAACTAAAATATAAAGCTCCCATTTTCACTTTTGGTCCCCCTTGTTTCAAAGTGAACAAAGTTCACCTCCAAGTTTCAATTTTAAACACTTTTGGTCCCTGCCGTTAAATTTCCGTTAGCAAGTAACGGAAAACACTATTTTGGAGTGAAAATTGAAATTTTAAAATTTTTTGGGGCTGAAAATAATTACAAATTAAAAATAGACTACTTATAAATTTTAATAATAATAATAATAATAATAAAAAAGAAATTAACCAAACAAATTATTTTTTTATTATACTTAATATTATTATAATTATACTATTTATAATTATATTTTTAATAATACAAAAAAATAATTAAACAAATTATTTTTAATCATACGTAATATTAGTTTTAATTATACTACTTATGATAAAAAAACTAATAACAAAAAAATTAACTAACTAAACAAATTATTTTTTTATTATACTTAATATTATTATAATTATACTACTTACAATTAAATTTTTAATGATAATTTTTTTTTGTCAAAAAGATTTTATTTTTCCACTATGATAAAACATTTTGGAGCCTCGTTGGTAATAAAAAAATCCGAAGCGACCCTATCGATTCTTTTGTTTTTAATAATAAAAAAGAAATTAATTAAATAAATAATTGTGAATTATACTTAATATAGTTTTAATTATACTACTTATGATTATTTTTTTAATAATAGAAAAAGTAATTAATAAAATTTCATTATACTTAATATTATTAAAAATTTAATTATAAGTAGTCTGTTTTCAATTTATAATTATTTTTTAGCCCTAGAAAATTTAAAATTTCAATTTTCACCCCAAAATAGTGTTTTCCGTTACTTGCTAACGGACATGTAACGGCAGGGACCAAAAGTGTTTAAAATTGAAACTTGGAGGTGAACTTTGTTCACTTTGGAACAAGGGGGACCAAAAGTGAAATCGGGCCAAACATGAGGGACCAAAAATGTAATTATCCCCAACAAATTCATTAACCTGATTTCCGACCATTAGTTCTCATTTAGAATTATTCTTTTGAGTCACTTAAAATAGGCAAATTACAGTCACCCCTAAAGTAAGATGAAACTGTGAAAAAAATTATTCTTGTTTGAATAATTATAATCATTCCATCAACTATCTATTTTCTTACTAAGAACCCCCTCATTTAGTAGGTAAATTTGACACCGTAAAGGTGAATGTGTAAGAATATATAGTTTACTGAGATGGTTATAACTACCCAAATAGGAGGTGGGGTTCGTAATTTAGCCTTATCTTAGGGGATTGACGGTAATTTTCCCTTTAAAATATGTTTACAAATTATTTCATTCTCTTGCAACTTGAAAATCTCTAAAAATTACTAACTTTAGTGCAAGAAAGTTTTAAGTTGAAATGAAATGTGATTCCTATGATATGCATTTTGATGGAAGAATTTGATATTGGAGGGATGATTTATGGAAAAGTTAAGCCGAATTCGTACAAAATGAACTTAAAATATAGGGTAGATTACGGCCACCCAAGGCCGTTCCTAAGATTTTGGGGGCCCTATGCGAGATTTGAAGACAACAAAAAAATGGAGCCTTCTAAAATCTAATATAAAACTCATTTTTTTAAAAACAAAAAAAGGTGATAAACTATATGTTAACTCAGCTTTTGTAATGTATATGACCAATGACAAGGCTAGATATTTGTGATACAGTAGTGTTAAAGTTTCAGGGGTACGGGGGCAACGCCCCCGATTTTTTAAAGGATTATTCGCATGAAGTAGCACTAAAACAAGTGAATATATATAAAAATAAATAACTAATACATTATAAATTTAATAATTAGGGGCCCCATGATTTGAGGCTTATAAAAACAAGTAACAATCGTTGATTATATCTATTTATGAATTATCTTTCTCAATACTTATATATATATAATAAATTTTTATTTTTGATAAATTCTATTATATAAAGGGTATGAACAAATTTGGGGGCCTAAAATTTTGAAAAAATCCGGGGGCTCTAGGCGACCGCCTACTTCGCCTCCCCTCAGAACCGGCCCTGCGGCCACCCCTTGAGGTAAGGTATATTTACGAAAAAATTCCTCCTATTTGCATAATTACAATCATCCCCTCAACTATATATTGTCTTACACGTCCACCGTTGCGATGTCAAATTTACCTCGGGGTCATTCGGCCGGTAAACCGATTGAATCGAATCGAAAGAAAATTCTTATATGTCGATTACCGAACCGTTAATTCGGTGTGGTATTCAGTTTTATTTTATTTGATATATATTTTTATATGAAATATTAGTAATAAACTAAAATTAATTTTAAAAAATAAAAAATCAAAATCAAAGTTTTAAATATTTTTAATAAAATTTTATTAATTCAGTTATTTATATAACCAAATGCAAAACAGTATGAAATTTTAGCTCACCCAGTAATTTATATACAATTTTACCGAATAAACGCCCATAAATTTATCAACAGGAGGGATTTTCTCTTAAGATAAGACATAATTGAGGGGTGCTTGTAATTGTGCAAATAGGAAAGGGTTTTTTTCGTAATCCACCAAAATTACTAAAAATTAACTCAAAAAGAGAATTAAATATTAAAAAAATCTTATAAAATAAATTTATGCACAAAAAGACCCAGTAAATTAGTAATTGAACTAGTCTCTGTTAGCGAGATCCCCTCTTTATTTATTTCAATAGAGTTAAACCCACTTTGTTATTTACATTTGAGAGACATCCAAACTTCTCACAATCTTATTTTACCCTTACATTATTTCAATTCCCCACCCACTCACCCACTACCTATATTTCGTTCTATTTTCTACTGTTTTTCCT